ATTGATTGACTGTATGTTGTTTTATGCCCTGTTCGAGAATTTTTCACTCATATAGAGACGTCACCATATACTGGTGAAGGGCTTCAAATTTAGACTTTAAGTGCATTCAGGGCCATCGAGCAGCGAGAGTTCTTTATCGTGCTAACATCTACCGTGAGACGGGGCCTCGGTTTTTAAGGTATCATCCGAAGGACACACAACTTTCACATTAAAGTGCCGAGCGCTTGGCGAAGGAACAGTTGCTACCTATTTTTTTTTATAAACTTAGATCAGTCGCGGCCGTGATTCGAACACACGACCTTCCGATCACGGAGCGAGCGCTCTACCAACTGAGCTACCGTGATGGCCACATAAATAAGAAAAGCTGACGACGGAAAAGCTGAGGTCATCTCGTTTGTCATACGGTTTAGTTGTTACTTAGCCTACTCCTCTTTAGTCAATAAAACATCCAGTTATGAAACATGTGGCAGACTTTGTGATGTCATTTATTTCGAGTTCACTGTGATATATCGAGTCGACATATGAACGGAAGGTACTATTGTTAACTAATAAACCGTCGTTGATATATCTGAATAGTTGAAGGCCACAGCAAGTGTTTTTTATCTTCCCATGTGTAAGTTTTTAAATAAATTCTGCTTCGCAGGAATATAAAAACAGGTCGGCTAATAAAGGAACACAATTAGTGCCCATCGAAATTCTAATAGTTTGTTGGAAGATCCTGGTCTCCAAAAGACTCTGAAGACCATGACAAAGACATGGATGTTGTCAATTAGGAACTCCAGCATCCTTTCAATATCAACTTGAGAGTACTTGTGTGTAAAATCAGAGTGATTTTTAACAAAGTAATTTTGTTCATGACAAATCACAAAATATGGAAATTTCTGAGTTCCATTTTAATTGTAGAAGCAGTTGTTTATGATGTCTGAAAGCCCAGTAGACTTTTTGTTTTACTTTACCGTGAGGAATGATTGCATAAAATGTGCCTCAAGTGTTGAAAAATTGTACGTTTTGATGTTAACTCTTGAAAAAATTATAATTTTAAACACAATTTTCTAAAAAGAGTTTTTTAGAAAATACATTTGATTTAAACCACTTTTGGAATATGCAGTAACACAATACGTCTGAAGTTTCTCCTTTACAGCAGTTAATATTTTTGTTAGGATAGAAAAAGAGAGATGGGAAAATATGTAGGACATTTGTAAAAATATATTTCCAAGAGTAGCGAGGACAGAAATAATCATTTTACAAACATTCCTAAGTTGGGTTTTTATTTTCAATTTACTGACCAATGCGCTAGGACGGGGCTTATCTGGGCATCAAAAATTTACATTATGCATTGACTATGGGGAGAAATGATCAAAATTTTTTCTTTCGAATAGCAAGACTCTCTGAAATTGAAGCATCCTTATGTTGTATGGATTTTAATTCGGTTATGTTATGAACGCGTGAAATTAAAGTTGGACCACAATATGTGGCTTAAATGTTTAATGTGAATAAAGAAGAAAAATAAACTAACACTTCAAAATCTGATGAAAAATAACAGCGGACCGAAAGCGTGAGCTTTGTAGCTAATGGGCCTCTTGTTTTCTATGCTACATTATGAAAGGGCACAAAATGATATCCTTACCTTCGATGTATATGCACAGGAGACGTACATTGTACACGGTAGGTGCAAGAAGAAAGACAACCTCAAATTAAACACTACACATTTCACAATCTTAAGTTTTATTTTATTTTTTTAAACACTTTGATTTGCACAGAACTTTGGCTGGCATGATAAACAAATTCAAGCCATTTTTAATGACAGGTCATATTTCATGATGGAATATATATTTTTTTGGAAATTAAAATTCAGTTCGCAGCAGGATATTGCTGTAAAATGTAAGTGATTTATTAGGTTTCTAAGAAATTAATGGTAATTGTATTTTATTTATATATATTTTTGGCAGACGGATGAAGCAATTTTATACTTGTTTCTATAACCCAATGAGCAGTTTTTTGATCTTGCATCCAAATTATGTAAACACATACCCTTCTAAATCAAATGTTGTTTTATATGCAATATAAATGTAATATGATGCTTATAGACAGTAATCAAGCTGATAAATCAAATTGAACTGAACAAACTTGGAAGGGCAAAAACAGACCCCTGGAAACACCAGAGGCGGGTTCAGGTACCATGGAGGATTAAGTATCCCCTCCCCCAATTTGTCTTGTTCGGGTAAACGTAGAAATCCGTAGATAAATCCGTAAAAAATCTTAATGGTTTTACTGTATTAAAACGTCAGTCAACATTCGATCCGACTTAACGATAGACTGTATTTGCACATAAGGCCATTGTAGAGACCATAGAATTTATGTAGTGTTGTTTATCTATGAGATTGTTTATGCGCTAGTGACATCTAACATAGTATTTATCAGTAGTCTGAACACAGAAAATACCTTTGTTTATATCGAATCAACCGAAAAATATAAATATCATATGAAGATAATGATGGTATATTGCTATGTGAATAAAAAAAGTTGAAATTAGAAAAGTTGTCATTATGTAAATGAAATCGCTTAGTTTTTAGTTAACCATTGATGTCTATCCCTAGTAAAATATCCAAATATGAAACAGAGGTGTCAAAACCTGTGCTGTGTTTTATTCGAGTACAGTGGGATATATTTGAATAAAAAAATGAATGAAAATGAATATTGTTGACCAAAAAAAAATAAACGTAGTCAGTACATCTAAACGTAGTATTGAAGGCCACAGTAAGAAAATTCTTCTCTTCATGTAGAAGTTTTAAAATAAATTCTGTTTCATTGGAATCCAAAAATAGTCGTCCAATGAAGGGACACAAATAATATTCACTGGGTTAGACAACATAGATATTATCAATCAGAAATTACAGCATCTTTTTACTCTCTATTGCAGAATTCTTTTTGGACAATCGGAATTTTTATTCAGATGTCTTTTTAATGAAGAAGCAGCTATCTGTAAGATAAATTAGATTCGTTTTTATTATTCATCATGATGCATATTTGTATAAAGTGTTGACACGTCATATATTTTGATTTGACTAATTTTTGAAAAGTTTTGTGATTATAAATTTGCCGAAAATTTTCTAGAGTTTTTTTTTCAGTATCCACATTTGCTTAACATCACTTCTCGAAGTTATGGTTAGTACTTATTCAATTGGTTTTAAAATATTTAAAATTGACATCTGATTATGAAGAATATGGCCCTTTGGAAGGAAACTATTGGTCAAAATTAACTTTGCATAGGTTATGGACATTTAGAAACTAAATTTTGAAAAGAAGAATACAAAAGAGGGTTATCAAAGAATTTAAAATATGTCAATTTAGACTGTCATAGATAAGTTAAACTTGATAAAGTCCCACCGTTTAATGTAACATATCTTATTGGCAGAAGTATCATTTCAATTTTCCAACAATTTTATATTGTTGGAACTATTTCTATATACTTTTGTGTGTACATGGTAACTTTAATTGGTTCCTTTGAGTGCAAGAAGAAAAAGCAAAAGAAACTAAGGCAGAATACTTTCGACAATACCTTAAGTGGACGGAACGAGGTGTAAAACAAAAAATATAATCCCTTTGTATTTGTTATTTTTAGATTGTAAAATTAATGCATGTGTTTCAGAGAGCTAAGACAAGAGAAAAAATTGTGTTCCGTATGCAAAAGACCTTACTTTTCGAAACAAAATTAAAAAGGAAAATGTTACACAATTATAATTTACAAATCACCGTAAATTTTTAACAAATGGACCTTCTTCAGAGATGTCTGGTCCTGTTGTTCCATTAATTCTTGGCTTAAATATAGGATAATAAAAATATAATTTATATACGTTTTTCCAATGTATGACATTTTCCGCATTCATTCTTTTAAATACAGATAAATTCCCTTTCGTGCAAATGACAGATACACTGTTCCCTATTGTATGAGGACTTTTTGCTTGATTTCAATTTAATAAGGTACCAAAATTGAAACTTTCCTTTTTAATATATATTGGATTAATTAGAGATCAAGATTGAAACTTTCTCACAGAAGGAAGTCCATAACATATAGAAAAGGAGTAAACTGAAGAAGTTCGTCTATAATTTTACATGTACAACATAAGTCACAGTTAATTAATTGATACACCCTTGAAGTTTATCTTTCGCTAGGCCTACTCCTGGAAAAGTGTTATGTGCCAATTTAGATGAACAAAATCATAGGTGATCACTGTATTTTAATCTTAGCAAAAAACATTCATTTTTATATTACGCAGTTGCAATCAAGATTGTTTACGTAATGGGTAATTAACATAATATATGTATCCAACTGCAAATGAGGTCTCAATTCTATTGTTTTAGAAAATCAATTTACAGATTACAACTCTAAGTTTATTTTCCCGAGAACACGCAATTAGATTCATTTTCATTGATAAAGATAAGACAAGTTTTTACAATTTCGATACATAATGCAAGAAACCCAAATCTACCGAATAACAGTATCAAAATTCTAAATGCAGAACAGTGCAGAAAACTACAGAACACACTGAAAATGTTTATTAAATGATTTCCTGTTATACCACCTTCCGGAGATAAACATAATTTAATTACATTAATTTTTATTGAAAGGTACATATGTACATTCTACAAACTGTTTTATATACTAATAATTAAACTAGTAATTATTATCTAATTAGGTATATTCAAGACAATTAGTTCGATGACTTCATTTCGTCAAACTATTCTCATTGCATCTACAATTCTATGCAAATAATTTTCTTGACTCCAAATGATGTATGTGGTAAAGCATTTGAAAAGACAAATGGTTACAAATGATCATAATTTATATTCATGTTTAAATAAAGCGATAGCCCGGATAGTTTTTGCGGTATAAAATAAAATTTAAATGATGAATCCGATATACATCACGACTTTGAGAAGATAGTAGCTTTGGTATTCTGAGTCATTCTATTTTAAGCATTATTGGATTAATTCTCTTATAAAATGTATGTAAATTTGGAGGATACACTAGTTTGCTTCTCTTAAAATAGGCATTCCAGGATATCTTTTAATTATTTGGAACATGAAACCGACCGTGACACTTGTTCTTGTCCTGACTTTCTGTACAGTTCATCTAGGTGAGTTTTGTGATTTTCTTTTAAATTAGAATCATGTAAATGTACATGTATATCCTATCAAACATGTAGTTGAAAATAGCAATTGTAGTGATGTATTAAAAAAATATTAAGGCGTTTGTTCACGGATTATCTCACCTGATTTGTGAATCGTTTACTTTTTACCAGTATATCATTTGACCTGAAATGAAATTTTAGGACATGCGGACGTCACACATGACTTTGTTTTGCAACTACTGGAAAACGTACGCAACAGATATGAGTCCAGAAAAGGTATTTTACTTTATGCAACGTCATTCATTTTGTTATTTATATTGTTGGTAAAGCTAGATGAAACAAAAATAAACATAATTTACCTCAATTATTCTGAATGAAAGAAAGTCTGTTAAAATAAATACCATTAATATTAATATGGATATGTTCTCAAATAACAGTATGATGTATGTTATGGAAAGATTTGTTCAAAGATAAAATAGCAATTTTAAGGTTTTCTTAATACAAATGTATAGGCATTCAATGTGACATTCAACCTACCACATGATTAGCCTTCTAAATCACACTGTCATATGTTAATGAGTTAAATGATGTCATGACCTTAAAAACTAAGTGAAAAGAAAGACATGTGGTTTGTTATTAGCATAATTATGTAAACATAGATCACAAGGAAGTATGTATAGCTAAAAAAACAAGTCACAAGATGACATTCACTAAATTAACTTTCAATTATTTACATCACATGATCTTTGATAGATTTTAATTGAATATAAGAAGAATGTGAGAGAAGGAAATGCTCTTCCTTATAATATTTTAAAAATATTTCAGGTCTTCAACAAACAACTAGGAAAACAGGTATTTATTTTCAATAAATTCTCCTATGAATTACATGCACTTATAACATTGCTACAGGCCAGAGTTTTCAATATGTTTTTATACCCATGATATATTTTGATCCCAAATGATGTTCCATTTGCAATACTGCATATGGTATTCTTAATACTATTCAATTAATAAGTATTTTACCTGATGATGTTAGCGTCATACCATCTTCCAAGTACAATTTTTACCTTTCCTGAAAAGTTGTTTTCTTTCAAAATTAGCAGTTTTGCATGTTTTTGATGAAATAATTGTATATGATTTACACCAGGTCTTGCATGTGTGGAAGATACTTGGCAAGCTAGAAACTGCTTTAAAGTCGACGATTCAGCCTATTCCTTCTGTCTCTTAAAAGGTATCTCACTCATTTATCAAACTTTAATAACCACAAGCCAGTCAAATATTTTTTTTTTAAATTAAATTGTTCTATATGCAGATTTTCCCGTTTTTTTTTTAACAAAATCGACAACAACAAAAAGTAACAAAATAAAACGTAACAAAAACTATGGCAAATCTTCTATTAATAAGTCAAGGTAATCTATATCGACCCCCTAAACTGAAGAATTTTTCAGAAACCAATAAAAATCAACATTATATGTTAAATCAAACCAAACTATCTCCAATGTATATTCAATAGTTCTAAATTTCAATCTATAAGCATGAGAATTGCCGTCTTCTTCATTTCAATTATGCTCATATATTCCTCATGCCTTTCTGCTATAACTCATGGTCCTATCAAGTTTAATAGCGTTTTCCTTAAGTTGGTCAGATTGTAAAGAAATACCCTTTTTTGTTCTTTTTTTGTTTGTTTGTTTGTTTTAAAATATTTAGCAAAATGACATTCGTTTTGAATTCATTTTATATGATTGGTGACGAAAAGTTTTACAGTTTGATTTTTTTAACCTTAGTTTTCTGACTCCTTCTTCATGTTTGGATCTAAAGAATAAACTAAAAATATCATTTTCAAATTCCAATGAACGAATAAAATTAAATATGATAAATATGTAAGTTTAATATTTCTTGATGTTTTTCAATTTTTATTTATTTATTTATTTATTTATTTATTTGGCTTGTATTTCATTTTTACTTAAAAGAGTAAATATGACCGAGAATCCCCTTGTATTGCAGATAGAACGAGAGATATTGAATCGTATGCTACTACTTTACGATCATCCGTTGGAGACATATTCTGTGGTGTATGCTGTTCTGTTGTAGAAAAGGAAAGGGACCGGTGTAAAAAGGTGTTTTGCTCAGATGATCTTACTTGCTGACGTGTTGTGTAACTGAAAATATAAATAATATACAGATATATAGATATTTTATATATAGATATATATAACTTAAATTATTAAAAAGGAATAATTGTTAACTGTACTCAGAAATCGTATTGTTTTTACTTTTAATAAAAGTCTTAGAAATGCGAATTCATTTTATTACATTCGAGGTTGAAGTCATGCTTCATATTTTTATGCAATTCGAAAAGGTAACATGTTCATATAACCTCCCTCAAGGACATGTACACCGGAGGAGACCATGTTTTTTTCGCATGGTTTTAATTTCTCTACCTTACCATCCTTTTGCAGGTGTAAAGATGAATAATGCCCCCGTGAAAATCATATTTTGACGTCAAAACTGATCCCTGGTCATTATTCAACATCGTAAATGACCCTCTGGCAAATAGAAAAGGTGTCATAAAACTTAAATTAAGCATACCCTACCTGAAGAAAAATCACCTCTGTAGAATAATGACCACTTGTAGATTTAATTAAAGACGTAATGCTTCAAATATCGTAATTTAAAAAAAAAAGATTTATAAATCATGAAGACCATGGACTAAAATGCTCACCTGAGCTAAACTTAGAATTATTTTTCTCATTTAAAATCCTTATATTAACTCACCCCTCTGGGCATTGTATTGAATAAAATGATCCTTTGTTTATGACAAATTGACAACATTAATCTACTTAATCCACATCATGTGGAAATGCTTCCACATTGATTTGACAAACATATCATTGTTTTAAAGATTTTTCTTTATGTTTCCCTTTATATTACGAGAGAGAGAGAGAGAGAGAGAGAGAAAATTTCAAATCAGGTTAGGTTTGAGTACAATTTTTTAAGTCAATGAATTTAACAGTTGATATACATGTAATTTTAGAGCATAAAGCAAAAGTATCCTGAAAAAACTAAGATGATGTAAGTAATTCTTGAAAAACAACCAGTTACAATTGAATTATATATATATATATATATATATATATATATATATATATATATATATATATATATATATATATATATATATATATATATATATTGAAGATTTTAGTGAATTTTCAATAAAATTGACAGAACAGGCATCACTAACCATCCAGTATTTATAGCATCTTTGATTTTTCTAAATGCTCTTCTTTATTAGAGAAATGATAAATTTTGTGCAAAGAAGAAGGAACATCAAGACTTCTCCAACAGCTATATAAGTTGTCCAGGCAATTATCCAGGCAAAAATCCCAACAAATACATTTTAATCTACATCCTTCTTACACATATTGAAGTACTTATTTGTCCAAAACAAATATCTTGTTCGTCCAAAAGAAGAATAAATTTGTCCAAAGAATTATATATCTTATTTCAAATTTTTCCAAAAAATACATATTTTTTATATTGGCTTCATTGGCACGGGAATGTCGCATTAAATTCTGTATTGATGGCCTTCGTGGACTTCTATTAATTTGTTATATTTATCAAGAATAAAAAAAATTACAAGATGTACAACCCTTTAATGCAATAAATAGAAGTATAAATGTATTTGCAAACAACGGCATAAAAACGGCCAGAGTATATCCGAAACGTTGACTTTCGTCAAGGCTGTTGAAAACCGTGTCACATCCTAAAAAAAAATTCTAGTTGCCTTCCAACCTAGTCGATTAATATGAATTAATGAACTTCGCCCTGATATTGATATATAGTTTGTTACGTAGAAAAAATGAAAAGGGGAATTTATTACCAAAAAAATCAACAAATAATCACACTTGGCTCTGTTCGGAAAAACTGCCATGAAAACTGCCATGTCATCTTTTCATGGAACATATACTAAAAGAAGTTAACAGATTTTGAAAACCAGTTTTAAAAATGCTTAGTTTTATTTAATTTCATTTTTGCTTTCTTAAGGATTAAAATATAAATTTCAGCTTAAACAGAATTCAAGAGTATGGCAAAAGTGATTATTTTAAAACAAAAAATAAAAGAAGAAAGAAACAACTCTTTTTAGTTAATTTTGGTCCAATTAAGCCTTCTGCATTTTTTAAACAAATGAACGTTATTAATAATATTTCCTGTCAGTAAATTATACTTTATTGAAGTTTATTTGGGATCAAATTCTATCTCTAACTGACAAAGTCGTACAGTAGTAGGCTTACTTTGAAAAAAATGTCCTATCAACATTTACCTTTGTGCGATTGCTTCATAATCTATCATTAAATTTGTGTAGTGAATATGAAAACTGCATGTAAGGAGATGTTCTTTGTTATCACTATACTAGTTTCCTGTAAAAATAAACTATTTTGACCTTGACCTTTAAAGAAATGTAGGCCTGTTCCTCTTTTCCATCATTCTCCTCTGTAGTGAAAAACTGCATCACAAAAATATCTAAGTTAATACTACCAGTAAATCACAATTGTTATCTAATAGCTCGATATTTTACCCAGGGACTCTAGGATTCTTAATCCTTAATCTTCAAACTAAATATGTAATATGATGGTTACATTTACATTTCGCAAATTCTATGGTCGTTATAATGACCTTGCTTGCAAATGAAACCTATATCTTTTGGTCGTATTTTGACTGAGAGGTTTCATATCAATTGTAAGGACATTGTTTTTTAAAATAAAATTTGAACACTGATTACTCAATCAATAAAGAGGATGCATGGATGGTGTGACAGGAGATGTTTACTATGATTTTAACACACTAAGCAACTACTATTTTAAATTTTTTGCAAAATTTCAATATTGCTTGTTGAGTCAGTTCGGAATGACATATGCTACTGCTTACTATGGCCAAGATTCTATTTGCATTTCTTTTTAATTAATAAAAAATATAATGTTTTCTTATCTTTAAAATCTCAGTTAAATATAAGGTTAAACAGATTGAAAAACCAGTTTAAGCAAAAAGCCAATAATTATTCAGAATATTTGCGGTCAATGAAGTTAATCGAAATTTCAATTCAAAAATAACAAAAAATGCATTTCATACGAACCTTGCTAAATTCTGAGGCAGTATCACAAACATTTTTTTCTTTCTGCAAGTTTGAAAATGTTTGAACATTACTGGAGATTGTTAATATAAATTTACGTTTACTTTAAATAAGAAAACTGGACAGAGAGGAACATTTATTATGTATTGTCAAAAATGTCTTTTTAATTTGTAAACAATCATACATGTGCATAACTTGGACCTTTTTTAATTACCCCCCTTCACATATACATCTGAACGATTTTCTTTGATATTAACTGATTGATTGTTGTTTTATGTCCCTTGCGAGAATTTAGCACTCATACGTGGTATAGGAGGTCACCATATACCGATGAATGGCTTTAAATTTAGACCTTTACTCGGCACTCAAGGCCATTAAGTAGTGAAGTTTTTTTTATCGCGCCAATACCTACCGCAATACGGGACTTCTGTCCAAAAGACCAGTGACTTTCACTTTTATTGCCGAGGACTTGGCGAAGAAACAGTCACTACCCGTGTTAAAGGTCTTAATGTGAAGCGGCGCTGGGACCTTGCGATAATGAAGCGAGCGCTCTATCACTAGGCTACCGCACCGGGTGTTTCTTTGACATAAATGAAAGAAACACAACTTTCAAATTTAAGCAACAATTTCTACATTTTTTTCTGTCTTTTTTAGACTGTTAATATCCTTCTTTTAAAAACTTGTTTATCAGTAACCTGCCTCGTTAGAAATTATTCATACGTTTCTCATCGAATCTTGCGTATCGAATCAGCCCTGAGAAATAAACCCATATAAAGGTGATAATGGTATATTGCTACATAATAAGGAAAGTGGACGGTAAGAAAATTGAAGCTATTCCGTTTACCATACAATTTAGTTGTTAGTTTGCCCTCAATGTCTTTTTTCTAGTATAACATCCAAATAAGAGACAGAAGTGTCAGATACGAACAGATATGAAACTCTGTAGTGTCTTTTATTTCGAGTTAATGAGATATATCGACTCAACGTAGGAATGAAAATAAGTACTGTACATTGATAAATCGCGTTCGATATATCTTAGTGTCAAATTAAAGACCATGGCAAGAAACTTAGTTTTTTCATGTAGAAGTTTCTGCAAAAAGCTGCTTAATGCTTCCTTAGAAAACAAAAACACGTCTGCTAATAACGGGACACAATTAGTACCCATGTAGGTTCAAACAAATTGTTGGAAGACCTGAACTCCAAAGATACCATAAATATTGTCAATGAGAAACTCAAACATCTTTTTAGTATCAACCTATCAACTTGTGTGTTGAATTCTAAATGTTTTTTTTTTTTTAAATAAATTCGCAGATGACTATAACAAGGTATGCAAATTTACGTGTTCCATTTTTATTGAAGAAAAACAGTTGTCTATGATGTCAAAAAGCCTATTCTTTAATGATTTCTGACTTAAATATTTGTCATTTAAAATTAATGGCAAGATCTAATATTTTAACATGTGTTCTTTTATGATTTATATGGAAAAAGAGCTCCAATTTGCCTTGGACTAATAGTGAGGTTAAAGCATAAATGTATTAAAGATTCAGTTTTGGTAGTTTTGTGAAAATATCCTTGTAAAGTGGTATTGATGCTGGTATCCAGAGCACAAAATTAAAATTAATGGTAAAAAGGAACAGGTCCGTAGCAGCAGTTTCAAAAGTGAAAGGGGGCAACCTTCCAAAATATCTGACAAAAAACGCTGAACTGTTCAAAACTGGGGGTGGGGGTGGGGGAGGACTTCCCAAAATAGTCTGACAAGCAAAAAAAAAAGTCCAAATCCTGAAATGTTCCAGTGCTCGACCCTACTGCAACAAAAATGGGGAGGGGGAGGGGCACCAGCATATAAATAAAAAATTACTTTAGTAAAATAATTGCGCCCTCCTGATCTCTCGTGATCTACGAACCAGAGTAAGAGCATTTGCAAATAAATAGTCCGAAAATGACAAATTTTCATAATTATAGAACTTCAAAAATTGTGATCATACGAAAAAATTGATAGACGATGCTTAAAGAAAGATTAAATTTTATTTATTTTTTGACTGAGCAGAGCCTATATGTAACGTTTCAGTGAAGCAGTTATCATTTAATAAAATTTGTGTAGATCTCGGAAATAC